AAACGCCTTTGACAACCCTTTCAAGTGAGAACTGTTGGATCTGAGAGGGACCTGACCTCTCAGTGGCTACACTCTCACTACTACTACTACTACTCTGCACCTCTCCTTCCGACAGTATTTAAGTCTCCGCACGGTCGCTTGATCTTCAGATAGTTCCTGACTATGGAACTGAACTTCTCCAGGCCGAGGGACTGACAACCTCAAATTCTACGACTTCAAGGGTGATGGACTGATTACATCGTCTTCACATCTCTACTGTTCCTGCCTACTTTCTGTATTCGACTAAATACAGTCCCTCGAGTAGGCATTCTCAGAAATGCATGTCTTGGTGGTCTCCTACTTGTGCTCGTGCAGTGCGTCTGAAATGTGCTGCGTAAGGCCGTTATCGTTACAAAAGGACCACAGAGCGACTCCTTCATTTTAAGCAGGTGAGGGCGGTTGCCCGGCGTACAGTCCGCGAAGCAAAACGCACTTGTTAGCGGGATTTTTCTATCCCTTCACGTTCACGTTTTTAGGGTTGCCGGTGTTAGTACTGCAAACCCTATTTGAAGTTCTTCTTCTTCTTCTTCTTGATTCGCCGGTACTTTCCCGACCCGGGCCTTTTCCAAGAGGTGGCCCGGCCTTCGCTCCCTTTCTGGGGAGTATCTCAGACTAATGTCTGCCATGGGAGGAGGTGTACCTCCTCAGCTTTAGGACTAACTGTTCCACGGCCTAGCCACATTCCCAGCCCTCACGGGGCTCGTAGGGAGAAGCTAGGCCTCTCTGGTCTGCCATCCCCGCCCCAAGGGGGCTAATGGGAATGACAGTCTTGTGAGCTGCAAGCTCGGGCTCAGGCACCTACCCTACCCTAGAAGAGAGGGGCATGGTGTCGATGATGCTATTGAAGTTGTCCGTATCTCTCAGGGGCTCTATCTATGCCCCTTGTTTCTTTCCTCCAATTCTGCTAGAGTTACCGCCTTTAGACTGTTCTTCTAGCAGAGAAGTCTTATAATGTGCCTTTTACGCTTCTAGAACTTAAAGTCAACAATTTTCGCTTGCCGATCGTCAGCAGCTGGACTTGACGGCATTCGTATTAGTATGCTTCAGCATTTACGTTCGTGAGCTCTCGTAATCCTCTTATATCCCATGCACGGGGGGTTTTCCGGTGCATGGGAACAGTGGTGTATGACCCTGGTAGGTTTAGAGCTTAGTTTTGTTTATAATAATAATCCCTTTCCATGGAAAACAGTTGTTCTGCCTTTTCGTAAACCAGGTACTTCTGGCCATGATGCCTCACACTATCGACCCATTGCTCTTAATAGTGCAGTTTGCAAGTTTCTGGAACGTCTAGTAAATAGACGTTTAGTGTGGTATTTAGAGACACACAACAGTCTCTCCACTAGTCAACTTGGCTTTCGTAAGGGCCACTCAACTGTTAACGCCGTACTCTGCTTAGATACCAATGTTCGTAATGCCTTTGCTAGTAATCACTCAGTTATCGTAGTCTTTTTTTGATCTTGAAAAAGCATATGACACTACTTGGAGATGTAACATCTTGGCCCAAGCTCATTCTTTGTCCCTCCTAGGCAATTTGCCACTTTCTCTTAAAAACTTATCTGAGAGAAACTTCCGTGTTCAGGTTAATAATTTGCTTTCCCTGGACATTTTCCAAGCTGAGGGTGTCTCTCAGGCATGTGTACTTAGCACCACACCCTTTCTCCTTGCTATAAATGATCAGGCCTCTGTTCTTCCATGTAATATTTGGTCATCACTTTATGCTAATGACTTTGCTATAGCTTGTGAAGGCGCTGACTGCCGCCTAGTAACAATCTCACTCTAGAATGCTGTCAACCAAGTTTCCCATTGGGCCACTACTCATGGGTTTAAATTTGGTGTTAAAATGCACCAAATTACTTTCACCAGACGTTCTGTTGTTTCTGATACTACATTGTACTTGTATGGTTCCCGTATCCCTGAACGTGATACGGTCAGATTTCTTGGACTTCTGTTTGATCGTCGGCTGTCCTGGAAACTTCACATTACCTCCTTGAAAGCAGCCTGCCATAGCCGGCTGAACCTCCTTAAAACCCTCGCTCATCTTTCTGGGGGGGGAGGAGAATCGACGAACTCTCCTTCGACTTCATTCGGCTCTAATCTTATCGAAACTAGATTATGGCGACCAGATATATTCTTGATCCCATTCATCATCATGAATTACGATTGTGTCTAGATGCTTTTCGTTCCTCTCCTGTCGAGAGCCTATATGCAGAAGCGAATGTTGCATCATTTACACGATCGGCGTGATGCCTGTTGTCTCCGATATTTTGTCCGCTGTCATGACCTTCACTATCCTCTACATACAGGATGGTAACGGAAGTTAGTAGAGGTCCATTAATAACAAAAAAAAAGGCACCATACCGTGACAGGAACAACACACAAATAACCCGCACATAAAAGAGAGGAGCTTACGACGACGTTTCGGTCCGACTTGGACCATTTACAAGGTGACTTTGTAAATGGTCCAAGTCGGACCGAAACGTCGTTGTAAGCCTCTCTCTTCTATGTGCGGGTTATTTGTGTAGATTGTGGTTGTCTCCCCTGTTTACTCCGTCTCTTTTTTCTTCGTATTCACTCTGTCTTGATTATACTTCCTTTAGCACTCCTCACCGTCCTTACTAACTCTCTCTCAGTTACATCTTTCACCGTCACTAGTCTCTGATCAAGCATAAGAACGTAAGAAAGAAGGAACACTGCAGCAGGCCTACTGGCCCATACAACGCAGGTCTATGTCACCTCCTGGCTTAGACCAATGACGCACCTAGTCAGGTCACATTCACTTAAGGAAGGAGCAGGGCATCTGACCTAGTAGCACAAGTTAGTCAGGTCCAACTCACACCCACTCATGTATTTAAGTTACTTTAAAATTACACAACGTTTTAGCTTCTATGAGAGTACTCGGGAGTTTGTTCCACTCATCCACAACTCTATTACCAAACCAGTGCTTTCCTATATCCTTCCTGAATCTTAATTTTTCCAACTTGAAACCATTGCTGCGAGTCCTGTCTTGGCTAGATATTATCGGCACGCCATTTACATCCCCTTTATTTATTCCTGCTTTCCATTTATACACCTCAATCATATCCCCCCTAGTTCTTCGCCTTTCTAGAGAGTGCAGATTCAGGGTCCTCAGTCTATCCTCATAGGGAAGATTTCTGATACATGGGATCAACTTTGTCATCCTCCTCTTTACGTTTTCCAGAGCATTTATATCCATTCTGTAATACGGTGACCAGAACTGAGCAGCATTGTCTAAATGAGGCCTAACCAAGGATATATAGAGTTGAAGAACGACCATTAGCACACCCTGCCCTGCAGTGTTGTATGACCCTTATGGGTTTAGCATTTAGTTATGATTATAATAATAATGCAACCTATAGAATAATTTCTGACTTTAGTGAAGCTTATTTTCATAGTCCTTTTTAAGTCATTTTGAGGGGCTTTTGATCAACGGAATTGGATCTGTGCTCCAGTTCCCTGAATTAAGCCTGAATACCTACCACATCCTCCCCACAGGCACTGCATAATCCTACAGGTTTAGCTTTCCCCCTTGATTATAAAAATAATAATTTTAAGTCATTTTAATCTCCACCATTAGACTAGTTTCCTTTGGTTTGCCTCCCATTTTCTATTGAGTCATTTCCTTTACATTTCCTTCCCTTGAGATAGGTTCCTTGACGCTGGTGGGGGACTCCTGATCGAGGGCAATGAACCTGGATATTCAGTGATTCGAACCTGATTGTCTGTTATTCCTTTATTCGCTATATACACCCTATGAGTTTATCGCGCTCTCCATTAAATGTATTTGTCAAAACTAAGCGCTAAACCCACAAGGGTCTCCGTTAAATGTCATTTCCCACCTCGGTAAATAACAATGCTCAGAGTATGTTCTAACTTCCCTTTCCAAAGGTCATCTCTAAGGGCATGTGCTCCCTCTTCCCTATTTTCAATGACACCATTGTGCTGCTGCTACTGTATGTTATTATAATCATGGGGAGCGCTAAATCCATAGGGATTATGCAGCGCCTGTAGGGGAAGGGGGGAATTGAAGGTATTCAGGCTCAGTTCAAGGAACTAGAGCACAGATCCAATTCCCTAGATCAAGAGCCCCTCAGCAACGTCAAGGAATCTTCCTTTGAGGGGCTAATATATACAGTAACTAAATCCTTTGTTGGATACACAGGATGTTTTGGGACAGTGTGATACATGTATGCTTATAAGATGTAATATTTTCCTAGCAATTATACGCACTTCTGGTAGCTATCATGCATACTGCTAATCTCCCAGCTCCCCTCAAGAGCTTCTGGCACCCAGCTCCCCTCAAGAGCTTCTGACACCCAGCTCCCCTCAAGAGCTTCTGACACCCAGCTCCCCTCAAGAGCTTCTGACACCCAGCTTCCCTCAAGAGCTTCTGGCACCCAGCTCCCCTCAAGAGCTTCTGACACCCAGCTTCCCTCAAGAGCTTCTGACACCCAGCTCCCCTCAAGAGCTTCTGACACCCAGCTCCCCTCAAGAGCTTCTGACACCCAGCTTCCCTCAAGAGCTTCTGACACCCAGCTTCCCTCAAGAGCTTCTGACACCCAGCTCCCCTCAAGAGCTTCTGACACCCAGCTCCCCTCAAGAGCTTCTGACACCCAGCTTCCCTCAAGAGCTTCTGACACCCAGCTCCCCTCAAGAGCTTCTGACACCCAGCTTCCCTCAAGAGCTTCTGACACCCAGCTCCCCTCAAGAGCTTCTGACACCCAGCTCCCCTCAAGAGCTCCTTCCTCACCCAGAATGAAGGAACCTCGTTTCCAGGATCTTGATGTACTTTAGTCTTGTGGATGAAGTTTAATTGATAGTTTCATCACTTGAAACATAAAGATCTGGCCGACCAGACCTTTAAAATGCGATTCCTTCATGTTAGTGACAAACTAATCAAGAAATTTGAGCAACTCCTTCGATCAAACCTGGTTATTTTAACTTCTACTAATCTTTTTTTTTTTTTTTGCTTTGTTAACGCTCTATGCCTCATAAGGGTTTTGCGTTTCTCCGTGATACTCAAAAGGTGAAGGCTTGTGAAACCTTGTCGAGGACGGAGTGTGGACAGTCACTGTAAAGACGATCACAGTCTCCGTGAGTCTTGCCGTAGTACTCTGCTCTCATGTACTCCTCGTACACAGACTCCTCGTCTGGACTCTTCGACGCTCTGAGTACAAAAGAAAAGTGCATAGATATACTCACTCCAGACAGGACTGCACTGAATAATACACAGGGCTTAAGAACTCTACGAATAATTTCCCTCTAAGACTGCCTTGATGCTCGAAAAGGGCTCTTGTTCCAGGGAAAGAGGGCAATCCTCCCCTTCCTTGAATCAAACATGATTATCTCGCTATATGGTTCAGCCCTTTCTCATGAATATAAACACCAAAAATATTGTAAACAAGGCAGTGTTGAAACCCACGCTGGTTAAGTGCATCTTGTGAAGCAAGTGTTAGGTTTGACGCCTGTCTGATGCACATAGGATCATAATGCCGCAGTCTACCTGCACAGGTTAATCCTACTGTCTAAACTGCCGCTTTGATGCTTTTAAAGGACTTACCTGGAGAGGGTTTCGGGGATCAACGCCCCCGCGGCTCGGTATGAGACCTGGCCTCGTGGTGTATCAGGGTCTGATCAACCAGGCTGTTACTGCTGGCCACACGTAAACCGACGTAAGAACCACAGCCCTGCTGGTCAGGTACTGACTTTACGTGCTTGTCCAGCTTCATTTTCAAGACAGTCAGGGGTCTAGTGGTAATTCTCCTTATGTATGCTGAGAGGCAGCTGAACAGTCTTGGGTCCCGGATACTTATTGTGTTGTCTCTTAGTGTACATGTGGCACTCTTGCTTTTCAATGGGGTGATGTTGCATCTCCTGCCAAGTCTTTTGCTTTCGTAGGGAGTGATTTTCGTATGCAAGTTTGGTACTAATCCCTGTAGATTTTTCCAAGTGTATATTATAATGTATTTTTCTCGCCTACATTCCAGGGAATACAAATTATGGGATTTCAACTGTTCCCAGTAATTTAGGTGCTTTATCGCACTTATGTGTGCCGGGAAAGTTCTTTGTACACTATCCTGGTCAGCAATTTCGCCTGCCTTGATGGAGACAGTGTACAGCAGTATTCCAGCCCAGAGAGAACAAGCGGTTGTGCTCTGCACCCCTCCGCTGTTCTCAGGCGAGCTCCATAGCAACAACATGGCGCTGAGTGTAAGGCGTAGAGTGAATACCATCGGCAATGAGCTGCTTCGTGGGGCGATTTCCCCCTCAACGGTGCAAGTGTTACTACCGACCATCATCAGAGAGATGTATGGAATACAGGACGATGAGGTATATGGTGTAGCCCTGAATGGGGCCTTCAGAATCTTCGTTAAACTGAATTCGATGGCTGTGTATGAGGCTTTGGTGACTAGATTCTAGGATGTGAGTCTGGATGCAACTCCTGCTGTGAGGGTGCGTCTGATAGACGTACCTCGACACTATACACACTATACGCGGGTAAAGTTGCGCAATGTACCCTTTGAGGCGGATGAGGCTGACATCAGGAGTGTGTTCGAGGCATATGGTACTGTGCATCTGGCAACCCAAGGCAAGAGGGCGGCAGGTGCGTACATGGGCCGTCCATAGGAAACCTTCTCCCTCAAAATGACTCTGAGACATCCCATCCCATCTTACGTCGTGATGGAGGAGTTCAGGACGCAGATTCTTGTGTCTTATGCTGGGCAAAGACATACGTGCAGGTTGTGTGGGGCGTACGATCATATGGCGGCGACGTGTTTGAAACAGAGGAGGGGGATGGCACAGATTGGTGAAGCACCAGTCATCTGTGGAAGCCGTCATTGAGAGCCCCACAAGCAAACAAGGGAGTGGGCGCCTGTGGAGTGATGCGGTGGAGGATACCCTCATGGTGACTGCGTGACGTAAGCTGTGTCGAGCTAGGAATAGCCACTATGACGGCGACGAGTGCAGATGTGCGTGCAGGAGGAGGTGATGGCGCTGGAGGATGAGCTAGAGGGGGTCTTGAGAACTTTAACTCTGCCTGGGGAAAATGAAGTATCCGTGTAGGGGAAAGCCTCCGAGTTGCAAGTGGAGAAGAGTGCCGGGACATGCATAGGGAAGGAGGAGGGGATCAGCAGGAACAGAGAGGTGTCGCCGTGTTCTGTGGAACGTAAAACGGTGGAGGTTGAGGTTCATTGTGACGGCTCCTCGGAAGACAACATGGCGGTGGAGGGCATCACGAGGAAGAGAGCAACGGCGTCAGACAAGACGATGTCCTGCATCAAAAGAAAGGGGGGGAAGGTGGATGGTGTGAAGCCCTGTGGTGGGCCATTTGGGGCAGGAGGCACTGGGATGAATGAGGAGAGGAGGAAGGGTTGGAAACTATAAAGAGGCCTTAGGTGTATGACTGTGAATGTGAATGGACTGTGTGATAGTGTAAAGCGGGAATGGTTTCGAATGTTTCTGTGTAAATGTAGAGTGGATGTAGTGTTTCTGCAGGAACATAATTTCAAGGAGGGGAGAGTGCTGGAGGTGGCAGGGTTTCAGGTAATGACTCTGCCATCTGCACTTCTGAAAGGAGGTGTGAGCTTATTGATCAGGGAGGCGAGCCTGTTTATGTTGATATGAAGTGATGGGGGAGGGGGAAGGGTGTGGCATGTGGACAGGTGGTGGATGGGGCAGAGGGTAACCTTGGTAAGTGTGTATGCACCAGCAGAAAACGATGTGAAAGTGAAGCAGGAATTTGTATGTGATGACCTAGTTTTCTTCTTACGTGGTCTTCCTACAGTGGCCATCATTGGTGGGGACTGGAACTGTGTTATTAGGAGGGCGGACATGGAACCAAAAGGGGTGGGGCACGTGTCGGTGGCCTTACGAGACCTCTTGAGGGATATCCAGTTGAGGGATGCGGTTGGAGGGGGGCGCGGGAGGTAGAGCACACTTTCGTAAGGAGGGGTTACGCGGCTAGGTTAGATAGGTTGTATATATCTCAAGGGGTCTCGTTAAAGTTTTTCCTAGCAATAGAAGTAGCTTATTCGGATCATCGAGCGGTAGTGGCAGAGGTGGGGTGGGAGTCACTAGCAGGTATCTCTAGGGGATACTGGAAGCTAAATACGAGTGTGTTAGGTGATGAGGAGGGGTTGGAAGGATTTACAACACTGTGGGAGGGGTTAAGTGAGGAGGTAAATGGGATGGAGGATGTGGTGAAGTGGTGGGATGGCGTGGTTAAAGAACAGAATAGGCAATATTACGTGAGAGAAGGGAAACGAATCAGTTCTTTGAAATATGGGCTTGCTAACTATTTGGAGGACAGGTTAAGGGGTTTTTATGTGAAGGGGCGGTGGCGGGTACTTATCCTATGGATGACATTATGACAATTAAGGGGAGGTTGCGTGAGACACAGGATGAGAGGTTCCAAGCAGTGAGAGTAATGGCGGAGGTGGAAGAGGTGTTATGGGGCGATAGGCCTTTGTTGTGTGTATTGCGTAGGCACAAGCAATGACAGCAGGCAACGGCTATTCCATGGTTGGAGGTTCATGAGTCGGTGGATGGGTATAGGGTGAGTCAGGTCATACAAGCTACATATGGAATGGGGGCATTTGTGGATAAGTGGTATGAAAAGTATTGGCAAAGGGAAGGGGTAGGAGCTGGGAATTTAGAACAGGTGTGTGGGAGTGTGATACGTCAGTTGGGAAACAATGATAGAGAAGCATTGGGAGGGAAAATAACTGAGGGGGAAATATGGGAGGCTTTGAGAGAAATGTGAAAGGGCAAAGGACCGGGAATTGATGGACTCCCGGCAGAATTTTATCAACAGCATTGGGAGCTAATGAGGAGGTTTTTGGTTTGGTTACTAAATTTAATGAAGGAGAGGGGAGAGTTGGGAGAGAAGCAGGCAATGGCTGTCGTAGTCTTGGTACCAAAGGGTAAGGGGTAGCATACGCTTAGGGACTACCGGACAATCTCGTTGTTATGCAGGGATTATAAGTTGTTTGCCAAGATTTTGGGGAATATGTTAAAGTGCGTAGTGGGGCGGGTAGTATTGAAAACTCAATTTGGGTTGCCAGGGAGGTCTATGGTGGAGGGGCATGGGCTACTAAGGGATTTCGTGGAAGCAAAAGAGGGGGGTTTGGTGGCATTAGACTGGCAGGGAGCATATGACAGAGTGGAACAAGAAGCATTGAGAGCCATCCTCAGGAAACGGGGATTTGGGGAAGAAATAGTGGGATGGGTAGATGCATTGTATCGCAGTGCAATGGCGAGGGTAGAGATTAATGGAAGATTGGGTGGGAAGATTGTAATAGGTAGGGGACTTTGACACGGGTGTCCTATGTCACAACTATTGTTTGCATGCATACAGGACCCCTTTTATAGAATGGTGAAGCAGCATATGTGCAATAGAGGGGATGAAGGGAGTGGTGTTTGGAGGGTTTGGCCAGTCTTAATTGGTTATGTAGATGATACTACTGTTCTGGTTAGGGAGGGGATGTCAATGGAGACCTTATATGGGGTAGTACAAATGTTTGCAGGTGCAATTGGTATGAGAGTGAATTGAGAAAAGTCCATTGTCATGGGGTTAGGAGCTAGGGCAGGGAAGGTTGATTGGGGTAGTGCAATCGTGAGGAGGTGGGTGAATTTGTTAAAAATTTGTGGTCTTATCTATGCAGATGATCTGGCTGTGGCACATGTGGAAAACTCAATTAGGTTGGTGGATAGGATTAAGGGATGCTTGGGAGCATGGAGGCCTTATCATTTGACCCTTGTGCAGCATGCCATTGTTATTAATGTCTTATTGTATAGTAAGGTATGGCACGCGGCTGTGTTCCCATTAACTGGGACGGCGATAGCGGACATACTTAGGAGAGTTTTTAAATTCTTGTGGCATTCGGGCTGTGATTGGCTTAAAAGGGACGTGGTAATGTTACCTGTGCATCAGCTGGGGGGATTGCTGGACTTAAAGCGGAGGGCCAAATGTGTCTTCATCAAGAGGGAGGTGATGAGGGAAGGTGTGTGTGGGGGGGGGTCTGGTCAGGATCCATGATAGATTGAAACGAATGTGTACAGGAGTGGAATTGTGTGAGCGTGAAACTGTTTTGAGGGCTATGGCATGGGCTTGAGATCCGGGGAAGGTCAAAATAGGTGGGATAGGTTGATTGTTAGTGGGGAGGTTTGTGGCGCCTGTAGAGGGTATTTTCCTAATGTATACATGGACAAGTATATGGAATAGGTTAAGTAGGATGAGGTTACAACCGCATGCACGTGATGTAATGTATCGTTTTTTGCACGGCATTTTGCCATCAGGTGTGGTTGTAAGGGATAGACGAGTGGTTGAGGGGGAGTGAACTATGTGGTGGAGAGGAGTCGGCGTTTCGTGTAGTATATTTTTCTGAGGATATGCAGAGTGTCAAGGGGTGGTAAAGTAGGGTGATACATAGGATTGGGGTAAGGGAATTTCTGTGCTGAGAGCGTTAAGTCTGGACGTGGGGGGTTGGGATGAGAGTGTTCTTAGGGATGTGGGGTACACTATGGTTGATTATATATATATAACATGGGGTTTGCGGGATAAAAAGGGTAACAGGGAAATTTATGGGAGGAGGTGGGAGAGGGATTTTTCAAAGGGATACAGGGAACTTACGTTAGGAGCTTTATTGGTTTTGTAAGAGGGAGGGGGAGGGTATGAATGGAAGTGATGCTGTGGGAGGGGAAGTCAGGGGTAGAAACAGGGTCGCCTCCTTGGGGTTTTTATGGGATGGAATGCAAAGTTGCACGACTGGTGTTTGCATGATGAGGGAGTAGGCACCATGTATGAAACGTAGGTGCACTCACCTGTGGAATGTAGGATGTGTAAGGATGGGTGAACGTTGTAGCTGTTTGAGCATGCTTGTAGTGATATGTCGGTGTGGGTGGGTAGTGTGTATGTAGTCCTGTGTATCAGGAAGCATGGTGGGTTCTGTCTTACAGTGTGATCGGGTAAAGTAGTGTGACGCCCAATTTCATATTCACCATTCATATTGGCCTCGTGTAACTTCAAGAGAATAGTGAATAAGGAATAGTGGATAAGGTATGAGTGGGGGAGGGTTCTTTGCCTCTGACACTGTGAAGGGTGAGGCGTAGATGATGTGTCTTAAGATGAACGAGTATATGTTGATTGGCCAGTGTGGTTGTACTGGCCCTCACGTGCAGTTACAGGGGTATTGTCTGTAGAAAGATGTGACCGCAGACGAGTGGGCATAGGAACTTCTATAATGGGAAGTATTTTATTACTTCTGATTCAGTCTGGTGGATTCTATTCTGCTGTGATAACCTGTTTCACAGCAGGATTACAGTTATGTTGTGTGGGTTGAGTTTAAAGGAGATTCGTTATGCATGTATGTGGTTTTTAGGGAGTCGTGATTCTTCAAGTTGGATTGGTCAAGGAAACATTAAATACGTGTTTGTAAATCCACCTGGATGAGTGGATACTGTGTATTGCTGGGTCAGGCGTCCCTTATGGTCATATTTGTTCATTGATGTATCTGTGTCTTGGTGAGTTTGTTCCACCAATGTGATTGTAATGTCTATTTTGGCTTATTTAGTCAAGGTTATGTTAAGTACATGTCGCCATGTTGGTGCAGCAAATACTTAGGGGGGTAAATTAATGAAGTATGCACTATATAAGTAGTACATGATCATACCATTGCATTGGTAGTAGTGTACAGGTGTATATGGAAAGGAAGCATTACATTGTGTTTTAATTATTTTAAGGTAGTATGTGTGTAGTGACCATGTACTTCGATGATGAAAATACTCTCATCTCGAGGGGTGTGAGGAGTTAGGGATCTCCTGAATTAATCCTATAATTTTCAGTGGTGGAAATGTAGTTATCGTTTCATTGCGTGTGGTGTGAGAGTTAGGAGGGGGTGATGTGTCAATTGTGTTGTGAACACGATTCTTTTTATGGACATAGCAGTCTCAAGTCATATGTTGTTAGTTGTGTTAACAGATGCTATTGCCACAAAGTTGATGTAATGTTATACTATGTGTTAGGGATGTACTGTAGCTTTTTGCCCACAGCCGCAACATGGCTATTTTATAATACTAAATAACTCTTTGTATTGTGTAATGTTTTAAATAAAATATAAAAAAAAAGATGATCCAGTAGCTGAGACAGGCAGGAGGGACCTGCTCTAAACCGGTGTTGCCCTGAGTTGATGGGTATCTAGGTGGTTGGCGATCTTGCTTCTTAGAACCCTTTCAAAGATTTTTATATAGGATAGTGCTATCGGTCTGTAGTTCTTTGCAATTACTTTACTGCCACCTTTGTAGAGTGGTGCTATGTGTGTTGTTTTAAGTGAGTGTGAGATGACGCCTGTGTCCATGCTCCCTCTCAATAGAATGCTCAAGGCATGTGACAGGGGCTTCATGCAGCTCTTGATGAACACGGAATTCCATGAGTTCGGGCCCGGGGCAGAGTGCATGGACATGTCGTTAATTGCCTTTTTGAAGTCTTGTGGTGTTAGGAAAATATCAGAGATTTATTAAATGACCAGATTTTGGGTCTTGATCATAAAAAAATCCATTTAGATTGTCGACCCTTAGTCTGGTTAATGGCTCACTGAACACCGAGTCATACTGGGACTTTGGTATCTCACTCATTTCTTTGCTGTCATCTGTGTAGGTCCCATATCGTTTGAGCAGGAGCCCAAAACTGGATGTTTTTTTTTCCTTATATTTGGCATAAGAGAAGAAATATTTTGGGTCTCTTTCAATTTCATTGATGGTTAAGTCCTTCCTGAGATTCTGGCTTCCTATAAGATTCCTTAAGCTTAAGTTCGATATTTGCTATTTCTTTGACCAGTGCCTCCCTTCGTATTTCAGATATATTGGCCCCTTTCAGCAGCTATGTGATTCTTCGGTTTTGCCTGCATAGGGAGCATCTCTCTCTTTCTAGTTTATATCTTCTCATTCTTTTTCTTAATGGAATGTGCCTTGAGCAGACTTCAAATGCCAGAGAGTTCATTTTTTCTAGGCAAAGGTTCGGATCTGTGTTGTGATATCTTCCAGGGAATCCAAGGAATTGGAGCCACCTTCTTTACGACTCCCCATAGCATCAAACCTGACGGCCACCTATTTTTCATATGCTGTATAATGCACTACGGATTAAACTTTTTCCCTCAAAAATCTGATCCCTAAATTATAGATAAATATTTTAGGTACCACCTATAGAACTGTTAGAGGGACCCTCATCCTCAGAGAAAAGAATATATACATACACACACACACACACACACACACACACACACACGCACACACACACACACACACACACAATATATATATATATATATATATATATATATATATATATAATATATATATATATATATATATATATATATATATATATATATATATATATTATATATATAATATTATATATATATATATATATATATATATAATATATATATATATATATATTATGCAAATATGCAAACCAAGTGATAAGTATGCAAACTACCACAGGGAGTATGAATGATAGCTATCACTCTACCCTCCATATGTTGTTTGCATATATATATATATATATATATATATATATATATATATATATATATATATATATATATATATATATATATATATATATATATATATCAAACAATATATAGGAGCAAACTGACCATCAGGGCTTCAGAATATACGTTACTTATAAAAACTTACTTCTCTCCATGGTTGTGCTATGCACTGAAGGATCATTAAAGGAATTTATAACCTTTCATTGGATGAAACTGACATCTCTAAACATAGGTTTTATGGTTTAATGATTATATACTCTCAGAGATTCCTTAATGACTTATAAACGGAACTGATATCATTCTATATAATGTATTCTATTAGATTATATTTATGAAGGGCTCTTGATCTCAGGGCTTTCAGGTACCCTACGTTTACTTATAAAAAACTTACTTCTCATTGCACATAGGTTGTGCTATGACGAGCGTGAAGGACTCTTTAAGTAGGGAATTGTAAACCCTCTTCCTTGGATGAAACCTGACCATCTCCCCTACAACAGTAGGTGTTTCATGGGTTTAATGATTCCCCACCAGTACCTCCTCAAGGAGGGAAGGTTCCTTAATGAGCTCTTGATCAACGGAACTGGAGGTATCATCTCCTTCGGATCAAATGTGATTGCGTCCTATTCTCCAGATTCTTTGACTTCCCCAAGAATACAAGATATAACACCTGTACTTGGAGTCTACCTTTGGTCTTGATTGATGGCCTGATCAATTAAATTGTTCATACTAGCAGTAACACAGTCCAACGTGGGCATCGTGTGGCGGGAAGATCTAATTCCGTAAAGGTCATAGAGAACCTGGAGAATGGGAGGCATTCAATTTCGATTCAAGAATATGACAACTCTAATTCCTTGGATGAAGAGCCCCTCACCTATATCAAGGCACCTTCAGAGGGTGAGAGTAATATAAAAGGAATGCTTACGACAAGATGAGGTTGACAACTTCTCCGTAGAAACTGTGTTCGAACGGTGACTCTGCTATCTCACACAGCGTCCTCAGCGTGCACGCGTGCCCGTCGTAGCCCAAACTGCACAAAATAACGTTTACTTAAGCTTGGTTGGTTGGTTAATGGGGGTTTCAATACATGCATACATATTTCTTCAGTCTGAGTGGTTAAGAAGTGAATAATAATCTCGGTGAAGTTGTGGAGGCAGGTGCCATACATAGTTTCAAGAGCAGGTACGATAGGGAGTGAATATCGACTACACAAGTGTTATCAAGCCTGCAGGTAACCTGTTTACCTTCAGTCAATAATACTTTAATACCTAAAATAAAGTTCAAATATAACTCTAAAACACTTGACGGTGTATATGTCCTGTGTCTACTAAGCTTTTAACAAAATAACCTTTTTTACTGCAGGACGGGATGCGTTGTGGCTATCGAAGATATTTTCACTCAAGGAACTGGACCTGCTCTCCTTGCTCTCGGATAATTATGAATAGAAATTCCTCTTTCTCGAATCAAACTTTGTTCCCCGGTCACTGTATGATCCCCTATGGGTTTAGCGCATCCGTATGGTATATAAATTTTTTTTAGTGAAGGGTTCTACATTCAAGGAAATGGAGCTGTCCTCCTATTCCTTTGATCACAACTAATTGCCTCATTCCCCACGAGTTACATGACCTCTATGGGTTTAGCGCTTCCCCATGAATACAATACATTATGACAAAATAAATAACAAAAAGGCACAATACCGTGACTGGAACGATACACAAATAACCCGCACATAAAAGAGAGAAGCTTACGACGACTTTGTCAGTGGTCCAAGTCGGACCGAAACGTCGTCGTAAGCTTCTCTCTTTTATGTGCGGGTTATTTGTGCATTATGACAAATACACAAAGTGGACTCACCCACTGAGGAAAGTCTCAAAACGCCTGTAGAGGCTTGTACGGTCCGAGGCTCCTTGCTGGTGTGATCTGCCCCAGTTGAAGGTGCTGTTCGGCAGATAGAAGGTGACAGCAGCTACTGTCTGCCAGCTACCGTAGTCACCAATCCCCAACATTGGCATCGTCATGTTAAAATCAAACTATCTTGCAGAAAAAAAGAAAAGAAAAAATGTAAGAAAATATTTTGATTGCAATGTGCGGATTATTATTAAACTCACGGGAAGCCCTAAACTATGGGGAATGCAATTAGAACATTAGAATGAACACTGCATGTAGTAGGCCTATTGTTAAACACATCCACAACTCTACAGCCAAACTACTACTTCCAGATATTCCTTCTAAAACTAAATTTGTCCATCTTGAACCCATTATTAAGTCCTGTTTTGGTTAGATACTTTCGTGCTGCTGCTTTTGTTATCAATTTCCTGAGTAAAACTCTACCAAATGTATTATCGAAGTCCGTCTACGCAATCATATTCTTCATCGTGGTCTACTGTCTTGAATATTTTAATGAAAGCCCTTGGGATTTCATTATTCTTTCACAGTGGTTGTTGTGCATATATATATATTATATAAATATATATATATTTATATATATATATATATATATATATATATATATATATATAATATTATATATATATATATATATATATATATTACGGTATTTTTCCCTATTTATATAAAATTATAATTGTAGAATATTGTTTTCACTTTGACTTACATAAATAGGTTAGGTTAGGTTCATCAGGAAACAGGACAAGTGTTTAACGCGAGTCTTACTAAGATGATGATCAGCAGCTTATACTAACCAGCATATTACCTATTTAGAGTAGGTGAACATCATGTGAAAATTTAAGGACAAATATTTAATGTTGAAGGTAAAAAGAATGATTAATTGGAATAACCAGTGATCTATTTTTTTTGACGAGGATGTTTGCCTTTTTAAAACAATATTTGTCATTTTCTTAGCCTGTTGTAGGAGCCAGTCTGGGTAAGTATCTCGGGGAACAGATACCTAAACCATATAAGAACAAACCTGATGTTTCGCTTTTTTAAACTGTGTATCATGATTGGTGTAATAATGAAAATAATTCCGTGAACGAGTAGGCTCACCTTAAATTCCTGAGACGTAGTTCTCTTAATAATAAGGATGTCCCAGAAAGGCAATGAACTACTTTCCTTCCTTTCAATTTGAACTTGATACTTGGTACTAAATTATCGAATTATTTGCAGAAATTACCAAATTTTCCCTGATTTTCATTCCGTGCCGTACAAAATGTCATCTACATATCTAAATAATATATGCCATTGTGTTTCCGAAAGGAATACACTCTCAAGATATTTCATTTACAAAATATATAATATAGCTGACAGGACTGGCCATTCTGTCCATCGAAAGAAGAAAAACATTCGATGAAACAGTTCTGTAAGACCAATGGTTTTTAAGACAGAGTGAAAAAATTGTCTTGATTAGCATCTGGCTTATTTCTAGAAATTGTGAAACATTGTTAATGGGAAGTTACAAGAAAACTCAACATCAAGACTAAACATTTTCACAATTTCTAAGTGTAAACTATCGAATTTCTGTATAAAATTTTGTGAACGATTTATGTAAGAATCCGAAAATTTATCCAGAAAAAAGGACTGGAGATATTTTAAGTATATTTAACTTTTCTGTATATAAATGAATCACTACCAAAGGTTTTTATTTATTGATTTATTTTACTAAACTCAGCAAAAGATAATAACAACGGCGTTTTCATAAGTTCTTCCTGTGTTTGTGTCTGACAATAAATCGCGAGACATTCTAAATTTATCAAGTTTGATTTAGAAAATCTATTTTGCCTCCTTTTAGTTATTATAATAATATTTTTTGCTCTTACTTAGTTTAATATACCATCTTATCTTTGTGGTAAACCTTTGTCCACTTGGAATTAATTATTGATGCCTTCCAGCATCACAGCTTTTAATCCTGGAGACACTACCGGAGGTCACCGTCTCTGTGATCCCTGGTTACTGGCCCGAGCGATCAAGATGTTAGTGCCAGCCGCCCGCAGTCCAACGTATGAACCACAACTCTGTTAATCAATAACTGTTTTTAATTACAGTTCCTGGTCATAACTGTAAGTGGCCAGAAATTGATCAAAACCATCACGTTTTTTTTATCATGTTTCAAAAAAAGTTTAATCTCAGACTTAACAATTCGTTGTCATAATCATTTAGTACCAGATCTGAGAGAAAGAATTTTAACCATTCCACGGGTGGGGTTAGAACCCGTGATCAGAGAGTCACAAAACTCTAGACTGACGCGTCAGCCACTGGAGTTTTGTGACTCTCTGATCGCGGGTTCTAGCCCCACCCGTGGTATAGTTTGTTTGCAATCGTGTCATTACGATTTCGTGAGTCAGAAAGAATATTCTTTTGAGAAAATATTTAGTCCGTTCAATATTTCTACGTATTCTCAACAATTTCTAACTTAATTTTGTGGTTAGTGATAATATAATCAGTCTTACTAAAGGCAAAACTAAAAAAAAAAATACAAAAAAAGGGTATAATTATGATATTTATGTTACCTCTATTAGCTATGCGAACATTTTATAAATTTTGTTTGAGTTCAATAATCCAAATTTAACCAGTTCTACAAGCAGGTTCCTTGATGCTGGCGAGGGGCTCTTGATCTAGGGAATTGGATATGTGCTCCGGTTCCCTGAATTGACTCTGAATGCCTTCCATCCCCCCCACATGCGTTGTATAATCCTACGGGTTTAGCGCTCCCCATGATTATAATAATAATAATAATACAAGCAATTTAATGATTTCTTGAAGGCTATCATTCAAGCTAGAATATACAAAACCGAATGAACTATGACAAACTCGTTCAGCTAAGTATTTCTCCAGAAAAAAGCACTGTTTTTTTTCTCTTCCTGGAAACGTTAAGTGCAGATGAGAAGCGACGGTAGATTTCTCTAGTCTTCCAAACAGAAAAGTGATTCGTCATTTTAATGATTTGGCATATATGTATGGGAGACAGATCTCAGCACCTGGATAATTGAGAACAAGAGTCTGCTAGCTAGGCTCAAACTACTATATACAGCAAGGGAAAATAAATACAATACTAAGAAAGAGCAGAAATAATGCCCCTATTTGGGCAAGTGTTCCACAAGGAAGCGTGCTGGGACCATTGTTATGGAATGTCTACTTCAACGACCTTCTTCATCTCATCCCAGAATCACATGCATATGCACACGACTGTACACTGATATTCACTTATCCAAGAGAAGAAATGCCAGCTGCACTAAGCTACATCAATCACCAGCTAAGAGCTGTATCAGCTTGGGGAAATAGATGGCCAGTAACATTTGCACCAGAGAAACCGCAAATGATGGTCGTCTCTAGGCACTATGATGGTAATGCTGGTGCAGTAGTAAGGATGAATGGGAGGGTGTTGGCACCTGGAGAAGAAGTTGATATCCTTGGGGTGAAATTTGACTCCAAACTAACCATGAAGAACCATGTTGTAAATCTTGCAAACAAGACAGTCAGGAAGCTTACAGCACTTCGCCGTATCTTGCATCTGCTTGACAGTAGGGGTTGCAAGATCCTGTACGAGGCACAAATACGCTCACACCCTGAGTATGCTCCACTTTCTTGGTTTGTCTGCCCCCCCCCCTCTCATCTGCGACTTCTTGACAGAGTAGAGAACAGAGCAAGACGTCTCATCTCTCGCCTGGACTCATCCTGGATAGATCTGTCATTTCAGCAGAGCCTTCAACACAGGATGGATGTGGGTGGCCTTACTGTTATGTACAAGTCCAATATTGTCAAAGTACCACACTTGGATCCACTTCGAGGACAGCGAGAAACAAGCTTTTATGCCACAAGACGGGCAGAAAGCAGCAACTTCACTCTGGCTTTACCCTTCTCCAGAACATCACTCCATCTGAGATCATACATACCCAGGATGACTCGAGTATGGAACACATTCGTACAGCATAATGATGTCAACGAGATAAAGTCAGTTGATCAAATGAAAATGCTGGCCCACAGATGGCTCCAACTTCATCCTGTTCCTTACTTGTATGTCTCATAACAATAAAAATGCTTTCAAATGAGCTGATGTAGGTAACAGCTCTTAGCTTGCCAATAAAGTTAGGAATCCTTAACCTGTAAATAGCTTGTCAATAAACCTAGGGATCCTTAACCTTGTCAAACCCTGTTTAAAAAAAAAAAAACTACAAAAGAAAAATAAAGCCTCATAACTAGGGTATCGTTGGGTACAATGATTAAGGCAGACGGCACCAGGTCATGTTCTATTATTACCTCAATTTCGCACAGTTTCTTCATTAGTGAGGCTCAGGTTAGAATATGTAGGAGAGAGGGAGATTATTTTCCAGTAAAAGGATGTGTGATGTCACCATGATTGTTCAATATATTTATAGATAGAGTTGTAAGAAAAGTGAATGCGCGGGTGTTGGAAGAAGTTTGAGGTTAAAAGATAAATAATCTAAAGTTGCTCTTTGGTGATGACACTGTACTTTTGGGAGATTCTGAAGTTGCAGAGGCTGGTGGACGAGTTTGGTAGGATATGTAAAAGAAGAAAATTGAAAGTGAATATAGGAAAGAGTAAGGTGATGAGGATAAAAAAAAATAGGTAACGAAAGATTGGATAACAGACTGAAGTGAGAGAGTATGGAGGAGGTGATTATATTCATATATTTAGGAGTGGACGTATCAGCAGATGGGTCTGTGAAAAATGAGGTGAATCATAGAAATGACGAGGGAAAAAAGGTGAGTGGTGCACCGAGGAGTCTGTGGAGACAAAGAACTTTGTCCAAGGAAGGGAAAAAGGGAATGTAGGAGAATATAGTTAAACCAGTGCTCTTATATGTGTGTGAAGCATGGGTGGTGAATGTTGCAACAAGGAGAAGGCTGGAGGCAGTGGAGATGTCATGTCTGAGGGCATTGTGTGGTGTGAATATAATGCAGAGAATTCATAGTTTGGAAATTAGGGGGAGGTGCAGGATTACCAAAACTATTGCCCAGAGTGCTGAGGAGGGGGGGAGGTTAGAGGTGGTTTGGACATGTAGAAAGACTGGAACAAAACAGAATGACTTCGAGTGTATAACTCTGTAGTGGAGAGAAGGCAGGGTAGAAGTCGGCATAGGAAAGGATGGAGGGACGGAGTAAAGGAGGTTTTGTGTGCGAGGGGCTTAGACTCCCAGCGAGCAGGTGGGAAACGACCGATGTGTTAATAATAATAATAATAATAATAATAATAATAATAATAATAATAATAATAATAATAATAATAATAATAATAATAATAATAATTCTCCATTAGTTATCTTATCCTGTAATTCTGTGCTGAAGTGGATCTGAGCGAGAGGATCGAAATATTAAAAAAATATTTCAGGTTCATTTTTAAAATGTGGGTCTAACATAACGTAAATATAGTGGAATCCCGGTGTTTGAACCTAAATGGTTCCTAGGTGGTGTTCGAACTGCGAAAAGTTCGATGTCTGAAACAATATTTCTCAGGCGTTAATTTTCAGTCTTACACACTGGACTGAAGGATGTTGAACTGACTCTTCCAAAAGCTTCTGAGAGGTCAGTGCCAAAGCACTTTTGAATAGAGCTTTCATGTAAAGTTTTTTACAACTGAATTTTAAAAAAGTCAGCGTGTTCAGACTCCAGAAAAAAGTTCAAAGATCAGGTCAATTTTTTCTGAACAAAATTGCTCGGACTCCGGTTGGTTCGAGGTCTGGTACGTTCGAACACCGAAGTTCCACTGTACTATGATGTTAAAATTATCAGTAAGAAAGGTCTAGAGCTAGTATCATTACAGTATTGTGACTCACGGTTACATAGCTGCCTGTGGGGAAGTACAAATAGCGTCTGCCTCTGGACTTGGCCACCTGGCTCGTACCTTCACTAGCCGCCTCCAGCCAGTCAACTCTCTCCGCCGCCTCACCTGCAAGCACACAAAATAACAGTCAAGTTCGTCCAATTTTATTAAACAAAATCTGGAGCATCAGCAATGTGCTGCTACATTATCCATATGATAATTACGCAGGAAAACAAAAGCTACGCAAGTTTCTCTACCATATTCCATCACACAGGAAATGTGTCCATATCAGGTTTTAAGTCATTTACCCCTTCTAAGGTTGTTTAAATGTTGGTAAAAGCCTCTTGACACAAGAAACTGGAGCTACTCTTTCTTTCCTTATTTGGATCAAACTTTATTACCTCTAATTTCTCAAGTGCTTTGTGACCCTGATGGGTTAATCGCTTCTCTGTGAAGAAAATAATTATCTCGTGAGGTAAACTTTCACATTGGACCGTAATGATCGTCTGAAGATGTTCCCATCCTTTAAAGGGGCGGCCTTGACGCAGGCTTTTGACCAAGGGAAGTGGAGCTTGCCTCCCCTTCCCTGAATTAAACTTGATTATCTCGCATTCCCCAAGCGCAGAATGTCCCCTATAAATTTAGCGCTTTTCCGATAAATAGAATAATACTTTTTCTCTCTCATTCCCAAGAATCTTCCTTCTTTATCAGGAGCCGATCAGTAATTTTATATTGTAGATGAATGGTTCAGAGAACAGACACGTTGATAAATTAGACACATGTACAACTCTTGGGTATCTTTATTGAGGAAACGTTTCGCCAGAGTGGCTTCATCAGTCCTGTTCTTCAAGATTCTCCTTTGTATGGACTGATGAAGCCATTGTAAAGATACCCAAGAGTTGCACATGTGTCTAATTTATCAATTTTATATTGTACTGGCCACCACCATCTATTCTATAATGATCCACTTACCATCCTCAGACTGAAAACAAGTACATGCTAACGTCTCAGTACCTCATCAATATCTCCTAACTTCCCTTTAATAATAAACAATATATCCCTGTCATCACTATCTAGAGATGCTACTAAGCGGCTCTTAAATCTCTTATATTAGTCATTACCCCTTAGTTCTGATACCAGTCTCATTGAGAGCCCTTAGATCTTCCCACATTTTCATGCTTGACCAGTTGTGGGCTCCATGCTGGTACTGTGTACCCTAGACTGGTAAAATCTAAGTAGTGTATTTTATGACCGATTCATTGTTAGTTCCGAAAACTTTTCTTAAGTTAGCTAGTTTTGCATATGGCGCTATCTTCTCAGGTTATCATCTTCATTAATTCCACATTGTCCTCTAGCACCGATATGTGAAACTAAATTTAAATTGGCAGGTCATTTATACCAGGAACAGCAAAGGTCCAGGCACTGAATTACAGTATGTGGGACCCCACTCTTCACCCGAAACCACTCCGACACATCTTCCTAACCAAAAGTAACTGTTACCCTCTGCCTTCTAGACACTAAGTCTTACAGGAGCCACTTGATTACCTTCCCTGCTTCATTTACCTGCCCTTTCAGTTTATATAGTAGCTTCGTCGTACTGTGCTAAATGCTGTCTTACAGTCGAAGAAAATGCTTTCCGTTACCAGAGATTTCTGTTACTTTGTGCTCGCCTGTTAGGTGAACAGACATAGAAGAAACTAATGAGACATTTATCACGGCTACGTTTCGGTAGCCAGAAGCTTAATCAAGATATATACAAGTAATGGACCCGGCTGTTACCTGGTAACAATTCACTCTCACTGCCACTTCTTGAATAAGCTTCGCCTCCCACACCTTTATACAGAATTTGTGCCCGTGCATTGTTTGTATTAGCTTGGAAGGTGAAGCGTAATCATCATAATAGTCTCATTAATTGCTTCTGTGTCTATTTACCTAAAACATTGTCTGAAATTTTATAAAAAAAAAAAAACTATTGATCTTACCTATTTGTGGTGGCAGAGGTCAATTCACAACTCTTGGCCCAGCTTACCTATTCATTGCAGTGGTTCATTCTTCTAGCTTCACTGGTCATATTAGGTTAGGTTAGGTAAGGTTCGTCAGGAAACAGGACAAATGTTTCCTGACGCGGGTCTTAGTCAGATGATGACCCGCCTTTGGAGCTTTTGGTCATCTGACCGAGGCCTTCCGCTGGCTTACCGGTCCACCCCTTTAAAAATTATGGTCATTTATAACCAGTCTACTGGTCATATTATGCCTATTCTTCAGTGTATGTATTCAGTGTATCTTCATCAGTCCTACCACTTCCTGACCACCTGGAAAGTGTGCGTACTCATTTAATACGTTCGTGTGTGTGTGTGTGTGTGTGTGTACTCACCTATTTGTACTCACCTATTTGTGGTTGCAGGGGTCGAGTCATAGCTCCTGGCCCCGCCTCTTCACTGGTCGCTACTAGGTCACTCTCCCTGAACCGTGAGCTTTATCATACCTCTGCTTAAAGCTATGTATGGATCCTGCCTCCACTACATCGCTTCCCAAACTATTCCACTTCCTGACTACTCTGTGGCTGAAGAAGTACTTCCTAACATCCCTGTAATTCATCTGTGTCTTCAACTTCCAACTGTGTCCCCTTGTTGCTATGTACCATCTCTGGAACATTCTGTATCTGTCCACCTTGTGTGTGTGTGTGTATGTGTATGTGTGTGTGTGTGTGTGTGTGTGTGTGTGTGTGTGTGTGTGTGTGTGTGTGTGTGTGTGTGTGTGTGTGTGTGTGTGTGTGTGTGTGTGTGTGTGTGTGTGTGTGTGTGTGTGTGTGTGTGTGTGTGTGTGTATGTGTCAGTGTCAGAGAGAGAGAGAGAGAGTAATGAGGTGAGAGGAGCTACTGATAAATATATAATATACAGTAATAATAATTAGTGTGCTCCTCTGAAGGCTTTCGTACCTAGAGTTGGCATCTTGGGATGGTCCAGAATGACCATGTTGTCTTGGAGGGTGGCGGTAGACTGTCCTACTACTAGCATTACCACCACAAGGTACACTAGGATATGTATGGCTGCCATGGATGCAACACGACGAACTAACAATTCCACCAACTGGTTCTTTATTGTCTTTTTTTTTATGACTTTTAACAAGGGCTTCGTGAAAATATTGTGCAACGATTTATTTATATTCGGATAGAATAAAATTATTAAAACGGAACTGATTCGCAAATGATGAATTTATGCAATGTGTGAGCTCTCTACACAACCTTCTCCTAGGCCACACTCAGCAATACTGGCTCACAGGATCTTCTTCCTCGTTTATAAAGATGAGTGACCGACCTATCCGACGATTTGCATAGACAGTAAGAGACGTCGCCGCTTGACCATGTCACAATAATTATTGTCTATTGTCTGACTTAGTGGGACGCCAGCCATCAACCCCGTCTACATGGCCTCACATCTCTCCTCTCCACAGAAACTCATTAAACTGTATATTTTTTTTAACATGGAATATTTAGCTCACAGCCTCACTTCCGACTCTCCCTCCTTGCTGATGAAGTTAAGTATAATTCCCATGGATTTAGCATTTCCCAACAATAATAATAATAATAATAATAATAATAATAATAATAATAATTTAAAAATAATAATAATAATAATAATAATAATAATAATAATAATAAACGTTGATAAAAATAATAATAATAATAATAATAATAATAATAATAATAATAATAATAATAATAATAATAATAATAATAATAATAATAATAACGTTAATAATAATAATAATAATAATAATAATAATAATAATAATAATAATAACGTTAATAATAATAATAATAATAAATAATAATAATAACGTTAATAATAATAATAATAATAATAATAATAATAATAATAATAATAATAATAACGTTGATAATAATAATAATAATAATAATAATAATAATAATAATAATAATAATAATAATAATAATAATTAATAAAAGCTGTACGTGCAAGTGCAGTTGCATTCAAACTGACTTCGATCAGGAGTCTGTCCTTATATGTGAGAACTTGGTGTGAGAATGAAATATACAATACTATACTTATATTGTTTTATTTTCCAATGTGTATCCGTTTATAACACTTCAGTACTAATTACACATCTGTATTTAATATATATATATATAGGTAGTAGGTTGGTAGACAGCAACCACCCAGGGAGGTACTACCGTCCTGCCAAGTGAGTGTAAAACGAAGCCTGTGATTGTTTTACATGATGGTAGGATTGCTGATGTCTTTTGTCTGTCTCATAAATATGCAAGATTACAGGCATGTCTTGCTACTTCTACTTACACTTAGGCCACACTACACATACATGTACACATTTATTTATACACACTCATCTGAGTTTTCTTTGATTTTATCTTAATAGTTCTTGGTCTTATTAATTTTCCTTTTATATCCATGGGGAAGTGGAATAAGAATCTTTCCTCCGTAAGCCATGCGTGTTGTAAAAGTCAACTAAAATGCCGGGAACAATGGGCTAGTAACCCCTTTTCCTGTAAAGATTACTAAAAAGAAAAAGAAGAAGAAAATTGTCAAAGTGGGAAGTCTGAATGTGCGTGGATGTTGTGCAGATGATAAGAAAGAGATGATGTGGATGTTATGAATGAGAAGAAGCTGGATGTCCTGGCTTTAAGTGAAACAAAGCTGAAGGGGGTGGGAGAGTTTCAGTGGAGAGGAATAAATGGATTAGGTCAGGGGTTTCAAATAGAGTTAGAGCTAAAGAAGGAGTAGCAATAATGTTGAAGGATAAGCTATGACAGGAAAAGAGGGACTATAAAATGTATTAATTCAAGGATTATGTGGAGTAAAATAAAGATTGGATGTGAAAAGTGGGTTATAATAAGCGTGTATGCACCTGGAGAAGAGAGAAGTGTAGAGGAGAGAGAGAGATTTTGGGAAATGTTGAGTGAATGCGTGGGGAGTTTTGAATCAAGTGTGAGAGTAATGGTGGTTGGGGATTTCAATGCTAAAGTGGGTAAAAATGTTATGGAAGGAGTAATAGGTAAATTTGGGGTGCCAGGGGTAAATGTAAATGGGGAGCCTTTAATTGAGCTATGTGTAGAAAGAAATTTGGTAATAAGTAATACATATTTTTATGAAAAAGAGGATAAATAAATATACAAGGTATGATGTAGCACGTAATGAAAGTAGTTTATTAGATTATGTATTGGTGGATAAAAGGTTGATGGGTAGGCTCCAGGATTGTACATGTTTATAGAGGGGCAACTGATATATCAGATCATTATTTAGTTGTAGCTACAGTTAGAGTAAGAGGTAGATGGGAAAAAGAGGAAGGTGGCAACAACAAGTAAGAGGAGGTGAAAGTGTATAAACTAAGGGAGGAGGAAGTTCGGGTGAGATATAAGCGACTATTGGCAGAAAGGTGGGCTAGTGCAAAGATGAGTAGTGGGGGGGTTGAAGAGGGTTGGAATAGTTTTAAAAATGCAGTATTAGAATGTGGGGCAGAAGTTTGTGGTTATAGGAGGGTGGGGGCAGGAGGAAAGAGAGTGATTGGTGGAATGATGAAGTAAAGGGTGTGATAAAAGAGAAAAGGTAGCTTATGAGAGGTTTTTACAAAGCAGAAGTGTTATAAGAAGAGCAGAGTATATGGAGAGTAAAAGAAAGGTAAAGAGAGTGGTGAGAGAGTGCAAAAGGAGAGCAGATGATAGAGTGGGAGAGGCACTGTCAAGAAATTTTAATGAAAATAAGAAAAAATTTTGGAGTGAGTTAAACAAGTTAAGAAAGCCTAGGGAAAATATGGATTTGTCAGTTAAAAACAGAGTAGGGGAGTTAGTAGATGGGGAGATGGAAGTATTGGGTAGATGGCGAGAATATTTTGAGGAACTTTTAAATGTTAAGGAAGAAACAGAGGCAGTAATTTCATGCACATGGTCAGGGAGGTATACCATCTTTTAGGAGTGAAGAAGAGCAGAATGTAAGTGTGGGGGAGGTACGTGAGGCATTACGTAAAATGAAAGGGGGTAAAGCAGCTGGAACTGATGGGATAATGACAGAAATGTTAAAAGCAGGGGGGGATATAGGGTTGGAGTGGTTGGTACTTTTGTTAATAAATGTATGAAAGAGGGGAAGGTACCTAGGGATTGGAGAGAGCATGTATAGTCCCTTTATATAAAGGGGAAAGGGGACAAAAAAGGCTTTAAAATTTTTTAAGGGGAATAACAACGGGGTTACCAGGAAAATTAGGTAGGGTGAAAGAAAGAATAATAAACGGTTTTAGTTCTAAGATTTTAAGGGTGGGTGAAAATTTTGGGTTTACATTTAATTTTGTGAAAAATTTTAAATAAAAAGGGAATTATTAAATGGAATTTATGGTTTTAGCCACAATTTGGAAACGAAAATGTCCAGATTTTCTTTAAAGGGTGGTAAATTATCAAAAATTTTTTATGAGAAGTAAGGGGGTTTGGGTTGAAGGGAAACTTTTTCCCCTGAAAAGTGTCTTAGAGGGAGGATTCCCCCCGGAGGGCTTAATTTTTTTTAAAAATTAAATGAAATTTTTTTAAAGGGTAAAAATTATGTCACATTAAAATGGATCCCTCCTTTTGCTGATGAAATTGCCAGGAGATTCAAAAAAAATTAAATTAATAATATTTGAAATTTAAAATAAAAAGTTAAATAACTAGAAAAAATAATAATAATAATAATCATAAATAATATCCATAATAAAAAAAAACGTTTAATAATAAGGATAATAATAATTAATATTATATATAATAATAATAATAATAACGTTAATAATGAATAATATAAAATAAAATAATAATAATATCTAATAATACATTATTTAAAAAAGCTTGGGGGTAGTGGCAAGTGCAGTTGCATTCAAACTGGTACTTCGATCAGGATCTGTCCTTATATGTGAGAACTTGGTGTGAGATGAAATATACAATACTATACTTTTATTGGTATTTGTTTTCAATGTTATCCGTTTTTAACACTTCATCTAAATGCACATCTTATTTAATATATATATTATAATATATATATATAATATAATATATATATATATAATATATATATATATATATATATATATATATATATATAATATATATATATATAACATGTCGTGCCGAATAGGCAGAACTTGCGATCTTGGCTTAAATAGCAATGCTCATCTTGCCATATAGGACAAGTGAAAATTTGTGTATGCAATATTTTCGCCAAAATCATTCTGAACCTAACGAAAAAAATATATTTCACTGTGTTTGTTAAGTATTAAATTATTGTAAACAAATCTAAAATATATTTAGTTGGGTTAGGCTAAAATAAATTGTTCTTGTTATAATAAGGTTAGGTAAGTTTTCTAAGATTCTTTTGGTGCAAAATTATAAATTTTTACATCAACATTAATGAAAAAAATATATCTTTAAACGAAAAAGAGAAAATTTCAGAAAGGACTTAATTTTAAATGAGTTCTTGCTATGACCAGTTTTACATATTCGGCACGACATATATAGATTTATATATATTTTATATTATATATATATATAATAATCATATATATATATATATATATAATATCATGATAATATATATATATATATATATATTATTAAGTAGTGCCGAAGGCGGCTCAGCGGTTCTGCGGCTGAGCGCTGTATTCCTGAGCGGTCTCCTCCCGAAAGGCGCGCTGCGGTCTCGTGGTGAGCCTATTCTGAGTGGTCTCCTCCAAAGGTCTGTGGCAAGCGTTCCTCGCAAAGGTCTGCGCTGTGCGGTCTCCTCCGAAAGGTCGCGGCTGCGCGGCTCCTTTGCCAGCGCGCCTGCGCGCCCGCCCTCGACCACCTCGCCCTTGACCACCTCGCCCTCAACCCCCCACCACACCCTCGACCCCCCACCCACGCCCCCACCCGCCCTACCCTCGCGCCGACCCGCCGACCCACACGCCCGCCTGCCACGCCCTCGCGCCCGCCCGCCCGTGCCTTCTGCAGCATCTTCTGCAGCGTCGTCCGGATCTGCCCCGCGCTCCGAATTTTTTTCGATTTTTTTCAAATTTTTTTTGAATTTCATTTTCTTGTGCTCTCCATCTCCTCGGATCAAGTTTTTGAGGTTCCCCTAATGGGTACCCCTTCCACCACGCACTTTCACCCCAAATATTCCTGCTCTACTTCCTTGGATCAAGTTTTTCTCGATATCAAAGACTCCATCTCCTTGGATCAAGTTTTTGGATTCCCCCTCTGGGGGTAAGCATTCAAAATGGACTCCCACTTTCACCCCAAATATTCCTGCTCTACTTCCTTGGATCAAGTTTTTCTCAATATCAAAGACTCCAACTCCTCGGATCAAGTTTTTTGGATTCCCCCCTATGGGGTTTCGAAATTCTTATGATCTCCTCGGATCAAGTTTTTCTCGATATCAATAATACAAAGACTCCACTTCCTCGAATCAATTTTTTTGGATTCCCCCCTCTGGGGGTAAGCATTCAAAATGGACTCCCACTTGCATCCCAAATTCCCTGCTCCAATTCCTCGGATCAAATTTTTCTCGAAATCAATAATTCCAAGTCTCCATCTCCTTGGATCAAGTTTTTCTCGATAATACAAAGACTCCATCTCCTCAGATCAAATTTTTGGATTCCCCCCTCTGGAGGGTAAGCATTCAAATGAACTCCTCCTATGGGGCATGGTACTTTCTCTTACTACAGGTCTAAACAAGTGTGACGTCACCCCACCTGTGTTTACTCGGCGGTCAGTGACGTCACATGATGACCTCACACATACAGGCTGAATCTTGTCGACTTCCCCCTATGTCAGTGACGTCACATGATGACCTCACACACACAGGCTGAATCTTGTCGAGCAGACAATAACTTAAAATGCAGGATAACACTATTTATTATACAACCAATGCATTTCATATACATTTCTGGTAATACAGCAAAAAAAAGGTACAATTCATTGACTAAAATCAACATATTTTTCTCTTGAAGAAATTCTGTGCATTTTGTTCTGGATCTTCTTCGTCGTCACCATCTCAGTATTACACATTTCATATACAACATAGGGAAAACATTACACATTTTCACTCTTAACCCAGGATAACCCAAATAATTCCACATTTTTTCGTTAATACCCACAACAATCCACAATTTCTTTACAAAAGATTCACTCTCCTCAAGTCCAGACATTTTTCTCGTTTTAACTATTTCATCAGAAAAAGTCACCACAACACTTACAACTTATAACCACTTTTCAATAAATTCACTAGTCACAATTTTACATATTACGAAGTTAATACGCACACACACACACACACACACAACACACACACACACACACACACACACACACACCACACACACACACACCTCACTTTACTTTGAACACCTTCAAAACACTCTCATAAATCATTTGAATACTCACAAAAGCACCTTTGAACATTTCCAAGACAACATTTTGAATATTCCCAAATAAGATTTGACATCTCTAATTTATCTACACTTACATATTTCATTAAATTACAACTCATCCCCCAAACTCCTCCCTCATTCTCAAGATTTTTACAACAGTATCACAAAAACTAACTCAGTCACTTTACTTTGAACAACACCAAAAACACCATGAATTACCTTTGAATACTCCAAAAACATCATTCGAACACCCCCAAATCACCACTGAATACTCCCAGAACACCTTCATAAATACTCTTGCACATCATTTGAACACCTTCAAAAACACCTTTGAATAGTCTCAAACACCATTTGAGTACTCCCAAATATACCACTGAATACTACCAAAACAGCACCGAATACTGCCCAAACACCACCAAAATCACCATAAACTAAGATCAACATAACAGACTAACACCCATTTTCACACAAATCCTCTCAAATCACTATAACCAAGACGATTACCAATTTCTATGAGTACACTCACCTCCAACTAAGATATAACATGAGCGCAAAAAAAAAAACATGAACACAAACAAAACACACACGAACACTTACAACAGAATCACCTCTTTATCGGTATCTCTAGTTCGACAACAATACCCACAACCCACAACACCCACATCTCCACAACACCCACAACCTACATCACCCACACCCCACAACACCCACAACAACAACCTTCAACTTATAACCACTTTCAGCTTTCTCTAGTTCGACAACAACACCCACAAACCCACAACCCACAACACTCAACCCACAACAACAACCCACTTATAACATCTTTTTTGGTATCTCTAGTTCGACAACAATACCCACAACCCACTTTCACCCACAACAACAACAACCCGCTTATAACATCTTTCGGTATCTCTAGTTCGACAACAACACCCACAACCCACAACACCCACAACCACAACACCCACAACACCCTCAACCCAAAACACCCCACAACCCCCACAACCCCACAACACCCACAACAACAACCCACTTATAAACATCTTTTTTCGATATGTCTAGTTCGACAACAATACCCACAACCCTCATCACTTACCAATTTATTCACAATTTTTCCTCTTTCGATAAAAATTTTTCCCCTTCTTTTTATTGAATCTTAAAATATAATACACATTCCTCCCTACATTACTAAAATTCTAAAAAAAATCCTGTCCATACCCATTTCCTTGTATCCACATAAATAGATAATATACTCACAACAACTAATCATCTCACTACCCAACTACTGCGACATGTTTCTACACCCTCCATTCTTTTCCAGTGCATCATAACTTTTCACTTCTATAATTTCTTTTAAAATATTCACACATTACCTTTATTTTCAGTAAAATCCCCCCCCCATATTTCATTAAATTTCTAATACAACCCTCCCCATACCCCTCTCCATCTCACCCACATTTCTTCACATCCACTCACCCGTCTCCCAACACACCTCTTCAGAACAAACACAAAAATCACATTTCACATCCACAAATGCATCTCATCACCCATCTCAAATCCACTAAAATCACTGTAACCAAGATATTCACAAAATTCTATGACCACCTAACACACACACAGACAACTCACTTTACTTTGAACACTACCAAAAACACCAACAATTACCATTGAATACTCCAAAAACGTCATTCGAACACCCCCATCATTTTTTTATAAATATATCACGAACACATCCAACTAAGATATGATATAAATCACATTTTTAGCCACATTCCCTCGATTTCGGTAATATGAACAAAATGATTGGGATAACATTAGAACATTTCCAAATTACGTTGGAGCACATTCAAAAATATATTGGAACACTTCCAAAATACAGTAGAGTACTCCAGAATTACTTTGAACGTCTCCATTTTTTAATATTTCCAAAATTAGTTTTGGAGACTTTATCTTAAAATCGAACATTATTTTTCTTGTTGGTAAACACACTCAATGGTAGAAATATTCACTCGATTTCTGGATAGAAACACAATCCTCACTCTGAGAGACTCCTTGAGCTTATATGGCTTACCTCAAAGTATTGCATCATGATTTTTTTACAATCCCCTCCAGCGACGCCATGAAATGGTGTTCACACCCAAGGTAGATTTAAGATAATCATCTCTTTCCAGACCAACTGTGTCCTCTTGTGCTAAAATTTGGTGAGGTCACAGGGCTGACAGACACCATGAAATTAACTTAAATGAGATATAACATTTGTATTCTACCTCAATACTTTTTTCATGGTAAGGTTTGATTGATTTAAAATTCATCATGTCTTAAAATTTTTTATTAAACATTTCTCTTTTTAATGAATGAAACATCATATATTATTATTAATCTTGGTGTAACAACACGCTCTAAACATCATAAATCCTCCCCTCTAAGTCTTGTTCTTCCAAGCCCCGTCACATCGGTACTTGTAAATTTTAATATTTTTTTTATTTCATTAGCATATAATGGGGAGAAATTTGGATCATCACCTGTAAAAGATATAAACCAACTAAAAGTTACATATTTTTTTCACTATCCCAAACATATGCCTCTCAAGTGTTATATCAGTATTCTTCTCGTTAACTTAAATATCTTCCCATTATTGGCTTAAAAGCATAATCATACTGTGTCCCCTTATTAACTTAAATGAATTAAAAGCATCTTGTTAACTTAAATGATGTAAGTATTATGGTAGACATGATTCTTGGTGTTCAGGTAGAGAGAGATGGCCGAAATGGTAAGTGACACATTTCACGAAGAGGTAAATATGAGTTATATATATTAGTTCAAATATATCTCTCTCTTCTTCAAGTTAAAATTACTTCCTCATAATAATTTAAATGAATTAAACCACTGATGCAAGGTAAATAATTTTTGCTTACCTCATGAGGGATACCAAGCACTTCCTTCAATTCTAGAAGACAATAATTTCGAATCATCTTCTAATTCTTGACCTTGATTAATGTTTTTCATTTCTTCTTTGACAACCATTGTTGTACGAATACCTTCTTCCTTAAATTTCATTATCATATCTTCGAGTGTGGGTTTATAATGTGTATTCCAGATATAATCATTTGAAGTTTCATACCTCCCAATACCTTTCAGAAAGATAACCTCTCTTATATTTTTATTGTCTTTCACACTTTTTATGACTCTCAATGGATTCCTTGAAATATCTTATTCTGTCTGTGATAGTATCTTTCTTTAAACCATACACCAAATGGGAATCTCTTGATTTTTCAATTAAATTTTGAGAAATGATATTTTCCTACAATGGTCCAGCAATACCAAATTGGCTTATTATGACTGCTAAATAAGGAAGATTCAATTTTCTTTGATCCGGTGAAGGTTCAAACTCGATAACAGTTCCAGGAGTATCACGACCTTCAACTCTGCATCTTCTCAGATTAAATAATGGTTCTCTACTCCGATACACATCAGCATATTGATATTTCTTACCCAAATAATAACTTGCACCATATCCTTTTATAGCAACACAATTCGCATGAAAAATAATGCAGACATTGTCACAACAATATTTTTCATCGTACAATT